GCGAATACAAAAAATAACGCTATCACGAATATACAAAATACCGAATGCATTTTGTATCGCTTAATATGACGGAAGGTGCACCTAACATGCGCTGCAATTACGGTGATCAGTCGTAATTGTTGTTGTAAAAAATATCAACTGCCGCTGCCTCTCGATTATTAGCTGCTCTGCCTTGTACTGCCTCTATCAGCTGTAATCTGCTGCTTCTGTACCGCTGCTTGCTGCTGCAATATCGTCGTTGCACACCCGCACGTATTTGTCTCAGAGAAACTTTATTTTTGGCGAAACAAAGTGTAAAAAACTATTCGGCGGTAAACTTGCGTTCACAGCTGAGGCGTAACTGCCTATTCAAAGGATCGCGCGCCCCCTCTCTCTCTCTCTTAACTGTTAGAACTACCGCACTAGAAGTAGAATCGCGAACGGTTCGATTAATTAACTCGACTACCGTTGCAAAACATATTATTTTTCACTCATTGAACTGGACAAAAATAAAACTGATGTTCATGACTTGGTAGAATTTCTTACATCAATTCAATACCAAATATTAACTTTGGTCACAATAAATTTTACGTGTAGAATGTAACATAACATCAAGAGCTTATATTAATCAACATAAGGGTCACAATATTCACGAGTTCTTTCCTGCTCTACCACCAGGCTTCAAAATCATTGAAGTGCCCAAACAGAATATATACCTATCTTTGACTGTCAACGTTATTGATCATATACAACTACGTTGGATAGATGAAGACGGAGACTTGATTGATTTTGCAATCTTCGAAGCACTGAAAAAAATCATTTTTTGTGATCTGGTTCAGTTCCTCCTTTGATGCCATCTTTATCTCCTCAATCGTGGCGTAGCGTCATCCTTTCATGGTTCTCGTCAGTTTTGGGAACAGGAAAAAATTACAAGTGACCAAATCTGTGAAATATGGTGGCTGCGGCACCATTACTATGTTGTTTTGGTCAAATATTCGCGCACAAGCAACGATGTGTGAGCAGGGGCGTAATCATTGTGCAAAAGCCAGTTTTTGTCGTTCCACAAATCCAGACGTTTCTTTGAATTGCTTTGCACAAATTGCGCATAACTTGCAGATATTATTCCTAATTGACCGTTCTACTCTGTAGCAAGAAGTCATGATATACCACATCCCTGTAATCGAAGAAAACTGTAAGCAAAACCTTCACGTTCGACCGAACTTGGCGCCTTTTTTCGGTCTTGGCTCATGCGGCAGCTTCCATTGGAATGATTGAGTTTTGGTTTCCATATTATAACCATAAACCCATGATTCATCATCAGTTATGATCCTTTGGAGCACATTTGAGTCGTCACGGATCCAGTCCAACATTTTCTGAACAATGTTAACGCGATGCTGTTTTTGGTTAAAATGGAGCAGTTGTGGCACGATTTTCGCGGTGACCTCACTCATGCCCAAATCATTGGTTAAGATCGAATGGCATGAGCCAATCGATATATTTAGATCCTTAGAAACTTCTCTGACGGTGATTCGACGATTGGCCAATACTATTTTCTTCACTTTATCAATGTTTTCGTCTGTTGTTGACGTGTTCGGGCGTCCGGCACGTTTTTCGTCATTCACATCTTCTCGGCACTCTGAGAACATTTTGTACCACCGATAAACATCCAATGCAACATATACCTCAGTCAACATTCGGTATCAGTCCGCGCACTTTATTTTGTTTTTCACACAAAATTTGATACAGATTTTTTGATCCATTTTTTAGAATAGGCAAAAATCGAAGACGCGCGAAAACATATCCAAGCTAAACAACTGTCAAAATTTAACTAAACTTTCAAAATGACCGACCTTGTCAGCATAAGTAAGGGATATGTGTACCAACATAACGCTACAAAACAATAAAAAATCAAATTTACGTAGCCCGCGGAAATTCAAAATTATCGATACTTTTTGAACAGACCTCATATAACTATATCCATCAATATAACGTGTAATAATTATTTTATCAAAAATAAATAAAATTCACTTCTAAATATAGTTTACTATCTTCATTTTATTTACTTTAATTAGGAGCATTAACGTGTTCGGACGTAAACTGGGTGAATCTGAGAGCAACCGTGGTCCACTTGGTATGAGATATAAAATCTCAAAGAAGAATCAGTATGACTTAGAAAATAAACGAATCCGTAATGTGGGCAGGGTAATTCATCTACTGACGCTGTAAACTGAAAAACCGTTCGGGATATTCTTTGAGTAGAACTTATACGATACTGTATACGTATATATGTATGTGATACTATATTAAAATTAATAACTGGTCAAGAAGAATTGAATAGATTAATTAATATTCACCGAGAAGACCTTGATATGAAATTTATAGAAGTTTACTCTGACATCAATAAGTCGAGAAATAATTAATTAGCCCCACCTATATTTTCTACTCAATCAGAAGCATCAGCTACTCAATATAAAACAGCACATTTTTTGTTTGTAATCATTCAGATGTGTACCGTACAGACGTCTTTCTGATAATAGTGAACGTCCAAACGGAAATGGTAAAAAAAATCAATTTTCTCAGTGGAAATCATACACTGAAAATTATTCAACCAACATCAAATCCATACCAAAATCTTAAAGATATAAAAAACTTTGAAACATCTACATATTTTGAATTTTATTCACTATATAAATATAAAGATACAAATTATTATTATTATATTGTATATTATAATTATAATGTATATTAAGTTGCTCGTTCATTGTTCAATCACATCCTTATTCTAAAAACATGGGGCATGGGGCATGAGGCCTATGCTCGTCCATACTCAATAGTTGGTAACTACCGTCCGGGGAAACGGGGCCTACTTGTCAGTATACGCAACAGTCGGAAAATAAGCGATGTCAAGTAAGCAGGTTGATAAATCATCAGCCGATAAAGCAGCCCACGGGTCTTTAACATAGAGGGTGATTAGGATACCGATTGCTCGGAACGAAAGGAATTAATTCTCGTATGATATGTGGCTCATGATACTATTGCCCCTACTAACTTATATTGTTGTGACGGGACCCTGGCTAGAATAGCTGGCCCTGTCTGACTCGCTCTCTCTCTCTCTCGCAGCCTCGCTCCTTCGCTGTTATCCTGGCGAGCATTTGAAATTACGAATCGATACCGATGCTCGCACGGCTTTTTTTTAAGGACCAATACCTGAGCCGGGCATCGTCATTTGGAGCCATTTGGGGGCGAGAGCAGCTGCGGCAAGAAGAAGAGAGACAGAATGACGCGTCGCGAGTAGAGAGTAAGCGAGCGCGAGTGACCCGCGGCAATCCACTCGCGAGAGCAAAGCCGCCGGCGTTGCTCGAGTCGACGCACGAACGATTAGGGGGGAGATTCGAGCCGAGATTCAGAGTTAGACGGATCGTTTGACGACCGAGCATGCGCACATGAAAGAGAACAAATCAGACAAAGAAACAGAGGACGATAAGCAGATAGCAGCAAGGAAAGAGGACTTCCAACGACGCTTGCATTGTGGAAGCCACATCCAAGCCTGACAGCAGTCCAGCAGTGTTTCTTGCCTGCAGTTCCTGACAGCAGTCCAGCAGTGTTTCTTGCCTGCAGTTCCTGGAGCAGTTCTGCCAGCAACAGTTTCTGCCAGCAATTACCAGCAACAGTTGCTGCAGAGGCGATTCCTGCCAGCAGCCTCACCAGGTCACGTCGTCTCTCTCTCTCTCTCTATATCTTTCTCTCTACATTCGCAAGTTCGCGACGCGTTAGCGAAGTAATCGCGATCTTCCGTGAACACGGCGAATTCCACAGTTGTAACAACTCCCTCCTTTGTACTTTCTCAAATCATTGTAACGTGCTCTCGTGCGATTGTCCGCACGAGCGCAGGCTAGCGACGCGTGAACTCGGGTCGTCGCTCTTTATTGTTGAAAGTCGAAAATAAATATTGTTAACCGTTATCGCGAGTGATTACTGTGTGCGCCTTACATTCCTTTCCTCTGAAGCCGAAGCCCAAAACGCTAATTTAATGAGGAGGCCCATCGTCATCGTTCAACGGAGCGAAAGAGCCTCCCTTACCTTCTCCTTTAAAAATAATTTGTGATGCGACACTTGGGCACTGGTCTTTGCATTGCTCATGGGAATTACCGTTCCCCATAACGCATTAGATTTTTAATCATCAGTATAACATGGCATTCCTTATGGGGAAAGCTGAAAAAATTGGCAATTTATGGGATAAGAGGAACGGAGTGCGGATGGCAACGCACTTGTAAATTGTAAAATCGAGGAATTTAAGAGGACAAAGGCTGGGTAGAAAGCGCGCGTCGAAGTCACACGAAGGTCGAATAGTGCCGGTTAGTAACCCGAGCGGTCTGTTTACATTCACGCAGGCCGACTGCGTCTTCGAAGCGAGACAAGCTAAGAGCTGCGCGGGCCGTCGAAATACCGTGTTTGAATGTGAACGAATGTTGTCTTTCATTTTACTTTGATAGCAAACATCACCGCTTACTGTCGTCGCTGCGCTTGGGCCTGGACGGGTCTGCTTTCGGACTAGTATTCCGAAGGTCACCAATTGTCGTTGATTGTTTTTGTTGTGAGGCACAAAGCCGAGTCGAGTAGTATTGTTGCTAAGCGGATTATCGCTGAACAGTCGACACGTCTTTGCCCGAGAGCCCGGCGAATGTGCATGTTATGAAATTTGACTTTCTTGTGTAGTGTTTGTTGCGAAAAAGAGGGAACTGTAGGAGGCAGGGTAAACATTTGGCGTAAATCCGCCGAGTGTACCTAGTGCAAGAAAAAAATTGCGTTAATCCGTAACCTTCTCGAATAGAGTTTTACATAGCCCGACAAAAGGTACGTAAAACCGCACCTGAGTAATTGTAGAAAGCGCTTTGTTGTGTAGAGTCAGCGTATCTGTACCAAAGGTTTTGGTCGCGTTATTGCAGTTGTAGGTCACGGATCTTGCCGGTGACTCGCGTCAGGGACAGATAATTTGCGCCGAGAGGTGTCATAGAACGGTGATGCCACCCCCACGACCGATTGATCCCGTGATGCGCGAGATCTTGAAGGATCGAGGCGTGCGAGCGCTGAAGCGGCGCATCACCGCAACTCCACCGGCTGAGTTTATGGCTCTGCTACAGAGAAGCCAGTTAAGCGTAAATGGCACGTACGAGGACCTGCAGGATGGCATGCTGCAGTATATGATCGCGCGCGAGAGACCTGAGTTGAATCGGCCGTTGGCTCCTGGAGACTTCGCGTTGGGCTTCGTCCCAGGGCCGCCCGAAAGTATTCTCCATGAGGAATCGCGGGAAATCGCGATGACCGGAATGGTGGACAGCGAAGGAACAGGAAACGGGTGAATAGCAAGCCTGGTCGAGTCCGCGAGGAGTCGTGGCCGGCCACGCGCGGTGTCGCGGTCAATCAAGACGCCTATGAGGCGAATGTCGCCTCCAATCTTGAGTTTTGCGCAAGAGGAAACGATGCGGATGTGGCGTGCAGGAATTATAAGACCTTCGAATAGTCAGTGGAGTGGCGTGCCGGTGATGGTCAAGAAGGCAGACGGAATGTATCGATTTTGCCTGGACTTTCGTCCGGTGAATAAAGTAACTAAAATCGATGCATATCCGATGCTTAATCTCGATTCGATTTTAGACCGGCTGCGCGGCGCGGTTTTCCTCTCGAAAATTAACTTGCGATCAGCATTTTGGCAGATCCCGTTAGAGGAGAATAGCAAGCAGTATAATGCATTCGCGGTACCGGGATCAGGACTATGGGAATTCGAGATAATGCCGTTCGGTCTAGTGAATGCCCCAGCAACGTTTATGAGATTTATGGACTCGTTGTTTGACCCGGAGTACTCGCCGAATGTATTCTGGTATATGGATGATCTATTAGTAGTGAGTACGAGTTTCGAGGATCACATGGCTTGGTTAGGTCGAGTGTTGCGTAGGTTAGTGGAGGTAGGCCTGGAGATAATCTTGGAAAAGTCGGACTTCTTTTGCACCGAAGTTATATATCTCGGCTACCGATTAGACTACGAGGGCCTACGCCCCGACCCGGAAAGGATTCAGCCGATCCCGGATTACCAGGCGCCAAGGAACATAGAACAATTGCGTCGATTTTTAGGTATGGTCGGGTGGTATATGCGATTCATCGAGAACGAGAGCGATACCAAAGTCCCACCACGAAATTGATCAAGAAGAATCAACCGTGGGTATGGGGCGAAGAGCAGCAAGACGCGTTCAAAGCGGTTAAAACGAGCTCTCACGGAGACTCCTGTGCTTGCACGGCCAGATTTTGAACGATCGTTTTATCTGCACTGCGATGGTTCTTCGTACGCGGTAGAGGCGTGCTTAGTGCAGATATTTGAGGATGGTGAACACCCGATTTATTATACGAGTCGCATGCTAAAACCACATGAGCGTCGGTATACAGTTAGCGAGATCGAGTTTTTAGCGGTTCGCTTTGCGATTAAGAAGTTTAGGCCGTATCGAGGGGTTTCATTTCGTGGTGCTAACGGACCACAGCACATTGACTAGCTTGTTGAGTAAGCGAGACCTCGCGGGGCGACTCGAGCGATGAGTGCTAGAGTTCTAACAGCTCGATTGCGAGATCGTGCACAGGAAAGGTGCTTTGCACCATAACCCAGATGCACTCTCGCGCGGAGTTCGAGGATGCGGCGGAGGTTTGCGAGTTCTCGGCTATCGAGGATACTTGGTACCTGCAAAGACGCCAAGAGGTTCTCGAACGGCCTGAGAAGAAGAGATTGGAAAGTAGAGGACAATTTACTGTACAGGTACATGACAAACCATCTGCTCGACTAAGTTACCAATCGCAAAGAGTGATGGTGACTCGTAGTTCCGTTGGAGTATAGGAAAAGGGTGTTGTGAGATGCGCATTGTGCACCGTCCTCGGGGTATTTCGGGCAGGAAAAGACTTATGATCGCGTGGCTCGCGAGTACTACTGGCGAGGCGTCTGGTATGACGTGAAGACCTTTGTCGACCAGTGCTAAGAATGTCAGCGGTACAAGGTCGAGCAACGAGCGCCCCAAGGGTTAATGGGAAGGCGCTTGATTGAACGTCCTTGGGCGGTGGTTGCGACCGAGGTGGTGGAGTTACCGAGGAGTAAGAATCGTTACCGGTATATCGTAGTCTTTCAAGACTTGTTTACGAAGTGGGTAGAGCTTAAACCGTTGAGTTCGGCGGACAGAAAGTCGCTTGCACGCGCGTTTGAAGAATTAATATTACTGCGATGGGAAACACCGGATTACTTCGTTAGCGATAACGCGAAAGCGTACCAGAGTAAAGTATTTCAGGATACCTTAAGCGATATAGCATGGAGCACGTGTTCTGACCTACCTATCACCAACAGAATGATCCGGTAGAGCGAGTGAACTGAGTCCTGAAGACTATGATCGCTATTTTTGTCGATAACGATCACAGAGATTGGGATAGATACATTCATGAATTTAGGCACGTGATAAATACCGCGACTTAGTCCTCTACGAAGGTTTCTCCAGAATTTCTGAACTTCGGACGTAATCCGCGGCCCGCGAGAAGCCTAAGGCGTGAGGTAAAGAGAAAAGTACCCGTGGTCAGAGTGAGTCCCGAAATTTGGCAAGATCGCTTGCAGCGGTTAAACGCATTGCGAGATTTAATGAGGAAGTATATCGAGAGCGCTCAAGAGCGACAGAAGAGTATGTACGATAAAAAGCGCTCGTATGCTGCGTTTAGTGAGGGAAATCTGGTTTGGCGCAAGCTTTATCCGTTGTCGAGTGCAGCGGTGGGCCGAAACGCCAGCCTGGAGCCTGAGTTTGGAGGTCCGTATAGGATTGTCAAAAAGATTTCGGACGTCGTGTATGAGTTGAAGGTAAAGGACAAACGACAGGTTCCGATGGCGCAGGTAAAAGATTTAAAAAGATACGTTCCGCCGCGAGTCGTGGGCCGGATCCAGAGATTATCGTGTCGTCTAGAGTGAGATGTAGAGTTGCGTTATGTATTGATGTATGTTATATTGGTTTCTTCTCTTTCTTTATTGTATATGTAGGGCAATTGTTAGTAATGGTGTTGGTTTTGCCTTTACGGATGGAACAGCGAACGAGAGAGTCGGTATCACCGACGCCCGAGGTACCGAGGCACCCTACTCGCGTCTTTCTTTATGTGCACTCGTCTATCATTGAACTTATTCTCGATCATCGACTCGACTGGGGACATGAACGAAGCTCGGCTGCGTTCAGACCTCCGCTTCGCGCTTGCCTGGATTAGCATCGTATGCAATTTCTGTGTCAACAATTCGTAGTGAAATTTTAACGCATACCAAGTTCGCCTCAAAAAGCTTAAGCAGAAGTCGTCGAGTCGGCCCCCGCCTGCAAGTTTTCTTAAGTCGCTATTTTACCGATACACATTGGGTAATACTAATAAAAGAAACCCACGGTGCCGCATACTTGACAACTCACGGCCGTGACCGGGGCACGCGGTCGCAAAATGACCAACCTGCTTGCACCGATAACACGTGGGCAGTGGCCTATCGCTTACGCGATTACTTCGACTCGGATATTGGGAGCTCCTATATCCTCTGCCCTCACAAGAGTAGCAATTATTAGCAAGTCTCTCTGCTGCTGCTTGTTCCGCTACTAAGAAATCAGACCCATTGGGTCATACTCGAGCAATTCTCATCGGTCATTGGAATCGCCAGGGCGGCCGATGGGGCAGTCTTCGCCTTCTTCGGAGCACTTTCACCGGGTAAAGTCCACTGTTTCGACTGTTCCTTGGTCTCTAGTGTATACCAGTGGATCCATGTTTCGTCGACTGTCACGAAACAACGCAGAAACTCCTTCGGATTGCGCTTAAACAGCGTCAGACATTGCTCTGAAGTTGTCTCACGGTTGCGCTTCTTGTCCGGAGTGCGCAAACGCGGCACCCATCGCGCCGACAGCTTTCTCATGCCCAAAATTTCATGCAGCACATGACCCACGCGGTCTTTTGAGATGCCTACGATCTTAGCTATCTCGCGCACCTTCAATCGTCGATCTGCCAATACGAGATCGTGAATTTTTGTTACGTAATCCTCCGTGGTAGCCGTTTTCGGAGCACCTGGACGTGACTCTTCAAAAATCGACGTACGACCACGTTGAAACTCGTTAAACCAATTTTTGACGGTCGCCATCGAAGGAGAAGAGTCACCGTACACAGCATCCAAGCGCTTTTTGATTTCGCTGCGCGATTTCCCTTCCAAAAACAAGAATCGAATCACCGACCGATACTGCTCTTTTTCCATTTTTCAAAAATCAACGGATACACTTGCTTTTACACGCTCGCAAAAATAAACTACAACTCCGATCCGGCTGAAATCTTGACAATAACCATCGAGAGGGTTGTACTACGTGATAGAATATTTCTTTTGCTAGAGTGGCGCCATCGGGCGGTGAGGCTAAGTACTTATCGGACCATCCTCGTATATAAATTTAATCAAAAAGCTAGACTAAGGCCTTACGCGGATTTAATATTGAGAAAAGAAAACAAGCTACGAATGAGTTTAAAAAACTATTTCATAAGATTATGATTAACGCTTTTTGTGAATAGATAATGAAAAACGAAAGAGAAAAAAGATCCCAGGTATAGAGCAAAAGTGGGAATTGCACAACCTTTTAATATAGCTCTATCTTTTACAAAAATATAGTATCAGTTCAGTCATTATGGAAAAGAGCGAAGGTGGGACTCTCACTATTCCTTAATATACGAAGAGAGGGAGGCGGCTCATAAAGCAAAGTAATGGAGATCCAGTACATATGTAAAAAAGAAAGTTCACGTTCTTTTCATTTCCGTAATAACAAATAGCGATTTCCATTAAAAAAGAAGTTAATCTTGAAAAGACCTTCAAAAATGACTTTGGGGTTTAAGTTAAGATCATCGATTATTTTTTTGGACCAAATGCTACAATTTCTAGAAACAATTTTCTGGGAAAACAAAATCGTGGAAAGTTTTCACAATTACTTTTAGTATACCTTTATACACACTGTGACGGTAAACGTCTTGTTAGCGCTACCGTCTCAAACACGCGGCTACCTGTGAGGGCAGCACCTACTGGTTGGGGAAAATAGAAAAAAGGAACTCGGTATGAGACGCGACGGAACGCGCGCGAATATGAAAGAACCAGACGAGGACTAGCAATCCGAGCATCCAGCTGCAGTTAATAACAATCGGAGTTTTTCCGAGTTTTGTGAGTGCTGAAGCGAGCAAGCTAAATTCTCCAGACATCAACCGAAAGCTGTACTTTTGTCGTCGCTGTTACGAATGTGTGTGAGTGTGTGGGTGAAAGGTTTCGCTATCGAGGGCGAAACCGAGAGTGCGAGCCACCTCATTCAAAAAGACTGACATCCCGGAGGCAGACATACGAACTTGATTCTCCCCCCCTTCTAATAGTGTGACCGATAATAAGGTAAGCTGGCCGGCTTAGTATCACGACTTTTTATATATGACTGCGCGGAACTAATTACTAATCCCTCTTACTCTGTAAGAATCGGCGGCGTGTATGTGTTAACTCTGCGAACAAAGAGCTGCAAACGCTCCGGCGCTGCATGTTATTGTCGTGCGCGCTTTGTAAACAGAAATACGCGGGCCAAGTATATTGTAGAGTATAAGTAAATAAACTAACTCGCATGTGATTCAAATTATAATTTCTCTATTGTCATTTCTAGCTAGTAGTAAGTTGGTTGACTGACTCCTGTCCCCTCCTGCTCTCCGATTAATGAATTTGAATATTTCGATATCACTGCGCGCATCACGATACGATTGCGCGTCGAACAAATTATCGGAATAAAAATGGAGCATTCACTCCGTTACAACACAAACATACAGACATACACACACAAACATACACGTATACTTATACATATATATATATATAAACAAGATATTTAAAAAAAATTATATAAGTAGAAAAAATAAAAGACCATTTAACCATATTTTGGAACCTTGTTTTTTAGTCATACATCAATGTTGATATTCACCAACTAACGTTTTTCTTATTTTTCAGGAAGAAAAATACTATTCAAAAATTGGAGCCATATTCAAAAAAACCATTAGCAAAAAATTATACCGATCATAGTAGTAATCCTAATCCGGAAATCGCTGCTCTTGATAGTGTGAATAAAATATTAACCTTTGGAACTATGCCTCATTATAGGTATGTCAATATTACCTAGTTTTATTTATTTTAATGACGAAGTCTATGAATATATTGTTAAATTGTTTCCACGTGCATTTTCATGCGGATTGTAGACTAGAATAAAACTCGTTTCATTATTAAAATTTTTAGCTATTCAGCTCTATAGTTTAATAAATAATAATTTTAAAAGGAATAGTTTGAAATAAAAGTTGTTTCTTAATGAATTATCTACAAAACCTAGAAAAAATTTTACTTTGAATACATTAGTTGATTTGTGAATTGAGAAAAATGAAGAACAAGCACGAAATTTAAAAAATTATTTTATGTTTAAATCACAAGTAAAATAATAATTTCGAAGTGTTGTTTTTACCGATTTTTTTTATAGATAATTCGTTAAGAAACAAATTTTATAAAAAACTTTTATCCCTAAAATTATTATTAGTTAAACTACACAGCTAAATGTGCACAAAAAATTCTGAAATACTAGGCTTTACCAAAGCAGCTATTGTAGAATTAACGCGTTTGGAGAATTATCGTTTTGATAACTCTCACGAGCGACGCAATGGGTCCGTGCCGTATCACTAATTATTTTGTAGGAAAAGATATGGGAGGTTCTTTTGCTCTACTGTATCGGTGACGATGGGCCTCGTCACGAGGTTGGCGTGTTGGGTGCTAAATCGAGAGGAAGGGAATGACGGGCGCACACAATGATCACTCTCAATAACCTTTAACCATATTTATTAGTCAACATGTTTCACAATCATAAAGAGAGGCGACGCGGATTTACGCGTCGTCCTCTACGGCCGCGTGCCTTCGCTCGTGCGGAAAAATGAACAGGGGCACGGTAGAATGAATTAAGAGGAACTCGAAGGAGGGTCTGGCTGTTCTCGCCATTTTCGCTGTACTCCCAGATGATCGCGAGCACCGCGCCGACGCGTCGCGCACTCGCGAATAAAGAGAGAGAGAAAGAGAGAGAGACGATCTGACCTGATAAAGGCTGCTGGCAGTAACGGCTGCTAGTATTGCAGGCAGGTTGACGGCATGCTTATACGACGCATCAATCTCTCTCTCTTCTTACCGCAAAGGCTCTTGCTCCTAATTGGCTCCCAATGACGATGCCCGGCACAGGTATTGGCCCTGAAATAAAGCAGTGCGAGCATCGGGCAACAGCGAAGGAGCGAGCTGCGAGAGAGAGAGAGAGAGAGAGAGAGACAGAGAGAGAGAGAGAGAGAGAGAGAGACAGAGAGAGAGAGAGAGAGAGAGAGAGAGAGAGAGACAGAGAGAGAGAGAGAGAGAGAGAGAGAGAGAGAGCGTACCAGTCAGGGCTGGCCATTACGGCCAGGGCCCTGTCACAACTTTTAGTCATAATAACACATCAACAATGATCTCACTCTAAACATATCAAAACGTTTCACTAAATACAGACTTGAGAAGATTACTGATCAAATTGTAATTACGAAATTAAAAAAAAATGAACTAAGAAAAATTTATATTTCTTCGTTCTATTAGTTGTAATTTTGTAAGTTTTTAAAATATCAATGATTATTTAAAAGTAATTTATGATAATCATTTATTCTCAAAGTAATTATTTTAATTTTTATTGATAAAAAACCATTTCTATGGACAGATGAATATCAAGTTCATGAAAACGTTGAATAAACCGATGTGAGTTGTTTATGTTTTTATTTTGATGGTTGACTCTTCCGATGTGTATAAATTATTAAAATTTTTACTATCTTATTACATAATTAGTTGCATTCTTTGAAAATTAATCAGAAATTATTTCAGAATATCAGCTGCCCCGAAATTATACATTGTAACGGGGTGGATTAGCTTGCACAAAAAGGGTTTATTAAAGAACAAACTCACACGATGTAGAGCTAACCGCCGCTCCGATAAACACGTATGAGTATACGTGTATTCGCCTTTATTTTTGATACTTTCGTTCCGATGTCTTTTTTCCAACCGAGTTGAACTCACCTTAAGTCATATAACTTGTGACACTCGATCTATCTTCGGTTTGAGTGACCTAATGTTTATTCCAACTAATCGCCTAGATGAAATCAGTTCAAAATTTAATCGGTGACGGATCCGTTAAACTAATTTATTTTATTTTATTTATTTAAATACAATTAAGATATACAGCAAAATTATACAAATAAGTATATCTGCCGCACCCATAGAAAAGTATGCAAACTTTTGTTTGTGGGATTGGATTTCTTATAAGTAGAAAAAAATAAAATTAACAATAAAATAAATAATAAAAACTTAAAAATAAAAACTTAAAAACTACTTACAAACTATTGCACAAATATATATAAATAATTTTTAATTATACACTATATTATACAAATTAATAGTAGTTATTTCGGATCTAGAACTTCAATGTTTTTTTAATATTTTTAATATTAGTTTCTAGAATTTTGAATTCATTAGCTAACATGTTAAAAACCTTAATAGCTATGATATTGCTACTGTTTCTATACTTAGACTTATTGATCTTTGGTAATTGAACATTTTTTCTCCTTGTTACGCTGTGTAACGAGCAGGCTCGTTAAGAGGTAGATGAGCGAGATTTGAAATAGCGCGCCATGCGCAAAAGACCCGCGCAGCGAGAAAGAGAGAGAGAGAGAGATAGCTACGATAGGCGGGCTCGAGAGAGTACACGTGAGACCGGCAAGCGGACAAGGCACGCTCGAAGTCCTTTTGTTTTCTCGGTGTGGAAAAATTGAATACAGGAGAATCGGTTCTGTGCGGTGACCAACGAAAACGGTGCGAAACGAATATTGTCAGTGCACGGAGAGATAGACTACGAGCGAGGATCAACGGGGGCCGACTCAAGATCACCGTACGACCCGAGGGCCTCGATACGTCGCCCACCACCCATAAGGACAGGTCGACAGAACACTCACCCTCGGTGACTCTGGGCGACGTCGATCGAGTATTTAGGTTCGAAACCCAAGGCGTAGCTGTCTGCAGCAGCGTTCGCCCGCGTAAGTTTCTTCCGTTGTAACAATATTGCATGCGAGAGTTCCGGGAAGCGAGCGTATATAAACTGCGTCGGCTGCGTGCCATTCGTAATCTTATTGTCTGTCTCTCTCTCTCTCACGGGTACGTATAATTGGGCTGTGCGCTGCGAACCTCTCGGTCAATATGGAATGTGCGCTAACGTGTAAATAAGTAACGAATAAAATCCGCTGTGAATATACTGAGTAAGTCGGCAAATTCATTCGATAGCACCGAATTTTCTCTACGTTCCCTTCTCCCTCGCAACGTTTTCTAAGAACCTACAACCACCGATCTTTCTTATTGTTCCGTGCTTTCGCGCTCGTTTTCAGGCTGCGCGTCCAGCATAGTGCTAGCCAAAAGAGGGAAGCGGCGGCGACATACATATTTTGTTAACGGACGGCGATTTACTTCCAAAGAAATCAACAACCGTTACAGCTGTTTGATTTTTTTAGATTAATACTAAGTTCAGCATAGTAGTAAGTAATTGATTCTAATGCAAATAACTGTGGTATACTTAATGGATAATTATGAGTAACAAACGTTTTCGTGCAGACAATTTTTAGAATCTTATTTTGTAAATTTTGTAGTGGGTAGATGTGTGTATAATATGCACCACCCCAAGCAATTAGGTTCGAAACCATAATTCATAATTCCACCAAAATAAGAATAATATAGTTAAAGCATGGTATCTGTTTGTGTAAATTTTGATAATTTGTAAAAAATAAACAATAGGTATTCAGATTTATTAACTAGGTAATCAATATGATTTTTCCATCTCAAATTACAATCAATCAGTATGCCAAGATATCTATAACTTTCTTCTCTTTTTAATGAGTTGCTTTTTATTTTAACGTGCATGCTAACCGGTATACTGCTGGCATAACTACCAAATGTTATAAAAACTGATTTATTCACATTTAATGTTAACTTATTTGTAATAATGAGACATTTAGCAACTCTTTCCAAATAATTATTCATGATGGTAATTGTCATTTCCCATGTTTTGGCACTAGAAACTACAACAGTATCATCTGCATAAGCTATAACAGATTCATTTGGCATTTCTACCAGCAGATCATTTATATACAATATAAACAATAGAGGCCCAAGTATGGTTCCTTGGGGTACACCGATGCTAATATTTTTATAATCGCTTACAATACCATTTATTTTTACCCTTTGTTTTCTATTAGATAAATAGCTTAACATAATATCATACGCTTTACCTGTTATTCGGTATCTATAAAGTTTTTTTAGAAGAATTTTATGATCGACACAATCAAAGGCCTTGGCCAAGTCAAGGAAAGTCCCAATTGTCGGAATACTTTTATCTAAATTATCATAAATCATATCAGTCAGTCTTTTTAAAGCATCTTTGGTACCTAGCTTTTTTAGGAACCCATATTGCCTATCAGAAATTATTTTGCTTTTCGATATGAAACTAAATATTCTTTTATGTATGATTTTTTCAAATATTTTAGCTATGTTGGACGTTAAAGATATTGGCCTGTAATTTTCAATTTTAGTCTTGTCTTTGCCTTTATGTATAGGTACAATTTCAGCCATTTTTAGTGCATCCGGTCATATTGCCTGTTTAATACATTCATTAAGCAGACAAGCTAGAGGTTCAGCAATGTAATTTATAATTTCTTTGATAACCATGGTGGAAATATTATCAACTCCACCTGATTTTGGTTTCAAGTTCTTAACTATGCTTTTAATTTCCTCTTTATCCGTGAGATGCACAAATATAGATTTTTCATTATTTATTGGTAAATTAAGGTTATCTCTCTCACTTTGTTCAATATACTGACTCAAATGTACACCTATCGAGCAAAAATAATTATTCATATATTCAGCTATTTGGTCATGTCTCTCAATTTTATCATTTCTTTCATTAATTAGTAATTCTATTTTATTGCTATTAAACTTTTTCTTTTTCCCTATTTTATCTTTGATAATTTTCCAAAATAATCTCGGATTTTTACAATTTTTTATTAAGGAATCAG